TCTTTCAGCTGGTTCAACAAGATATAATGATAATGGTGATATATTAAAATATTCAATTAATAATTTCGAAACTAAACCAGTTCCAGCAGCTAAATCCATAATATAAAGATATTTTGAATTGTTTAGTAAATGTTTTTCAACAAATTTGATCATAGTTATAGCCATATTGGAAAATATCTGATTATTCTTAATCAATATATGATAAGGATCAGCACGTATATGTCATGAATCAATTATTTCTTTTTGTTTATTATCATTCATCATTTTATATATCAATAATAATAAATACTAAATATATTAAAATAAATAATTATTGTATTTTCTTGGAAGATCTATTCATTTTATTTTTAAATTCATACATTTCAAGCAATAAATCATAAGGAAAACAAAAACAAAAACATTAATCAATAAAACCGAAAACAAACCGTTTTCAATGTCATTCTCTTCACATCATTTCGTTAACATATAAAAACAAACAAACAAGTTGAGAAGAATAAGTAAAGATACGACTCCTACAGACTAAAATAAAACGAATCAGAGATTCATATCGACAAAAACAAAATGATTAAAGTTAAAAATGTCAACTGAAATAAAATCACTGTTAGATATGTATTTATAGTTGATTACTTCATTTTTTCTTTGAAATGATATATAAATATAAGAAATGATAAAAACAGCTTGTCTTTAAGAGTAGTTTTAATACAAATGAATATTTGTTATTATGTTAAAAGTATGTTTATCTAATATAATGATGAAATATTTTAAATAGTCATTTTAACAACACCTGATGTTATTTGAATATGATTATTGTCTGTTATTGAATTATTTTGACTTGTTGATGTTTGACAAATATTATTTATTTTCGATATATGTTCACACATAATTCTCATAAAATCATTAGTTAGATTTGGATAACGTTTATTTTCATTTTGTAATAAACATCGTAAATCTTCAAATGAATCTACGCCTTTTTCGTCATTACATCGAACATTATTATTATTATTTGAAAATGAAATATTATAATGAATTGAAAACTATACAGAAAAAATAGAGATTTTTTTAGATATATAATTTTGATTAAAATCCAAAATTTATTTTTATTACGAATAAAATGAATATTTATGTTGGTTAAAAAAAACTCTGAAAATAGATAACTCGAGAAACTGATACATTTATTAACAGATCATCAAAATATTCAATGATTTGTTTTTCTTTTTCAAATTTTTTTTATTGATAAAGTTTTTCGTAAGTTTTTATGAAAAAGACTCGAGTTTTCTCAAAAGAAGAAAAAGAAAAATAACTACTAGTAGAACTCAAACGATCAATTTATATACGTATAGACATTTAAAAAAAAAGTGTTTTATCTATTATGTAAAATTACTGTCAATTTCAAAAAAGAAGGTATGTGGGTAGTTTGTTTTTGAATAACTTTTGATAGAACCGCTGTAGAGAGCTGCGGTTTTCACCGTTAAAAAGAGGAGATGAAGACGCATCGAACTGTATATTACAGAGTAATTTGACCTAGGTTATCAAGGACTTAAATCGATATTTTTCAACACAAATATATTCGCTAAATGAAGATCTTCATAACTACGCAAGATTTAGAATTTTACATTATCCGTTCAAGAGTCATAGGAACTATATGTGAAACTCTCAGTCCATTTTTCTATCAATTTCTATAAACAGAAATCACTTTTTTTAATCTTTGAAGAAATCGGTTTTCTGTTATTTTTTTGAAGAAAATTGATTAAGAAAACATTTTAGAGAATCCTATGATACCGTATCCGGCGTGTCTTTATCTCTTCTTTTCAACAGCGAAAATCGCAGTTCACTACAGTGGTCCCTTTAAAACATTTCCACCTGCCTTTTTTTTAAATGATCAGTAGTCTTATTAATATATAAATGATCATTTATGAAATAGATCAAACAACGAAAAGTAAAATGATTTTAACTTGATATAGAAAATATTTTTAGGTGATTATGATAAAATAAAATAATTAATGTAACATACAATATGATGATAATTAATTGCTGATTTGACTGTTCCAGCTCCATATTTCCATTGATCTGAATCATGTTTTGATCTAAATATAAATTCGATAAATCCATATGATATGAAACAAATTATTTATTTGACTAACTGTTCTTCATCGTCAGATTTTATTCCATTATCATGTTTTTTTTTCCATTTTTGATAACGTATTATTAATTCTATTAAATATTTTATTGGCTTTGTTGTTGAAACAAAGACAAATCTACGTAATTGTGTAGCTTTTGGTCTCTTATCAATAGAAATAAATAAAAGATAAAATTAGTTTTTCTTTTTTTGAATTATTTTTTTTAAATACATGTTCAGGATTTTTTTGTAAACAAACTTTAACAAATTCTCGAAATGCATTCGAATATTCTTTTACAGATAATTGTGGAGGAGGATTTTTTGGAATTCGTAATAAAACATGCATTAGATGTAAATCTGAATTAAGTGGTTCACCTTTTGCTAATTCAATTGATGTTATACCAAGTGACCATATATCTGCCTATAATATATTATGAGAATTATTAGTCAAATTAGTCCTATTGACATATATCTTATTTATCAATATAATTTATTATAGAAAGATTTTTTTTTTCAAATATTTCTTTATTTAAGTTTCAATTTATTTAATTAATAGAAACAAAAAAAAAACAAAACAATGACAATTCAATAAAAACTATCTCGAAATAAAATCAACAAATGTTTAAGAATAAATAAATTATTATAGAAATAAAAGTAATATTATTCATTCGTTTAATAACAAATGAATAATAATGAATAGTTTCATTATCTAATATATTTTATATATTTAGATTTTGTTTTTCTAATAATAAATATATTAATTGATGAATAGATAAGTTAGGAAAAACAGCGATTAATTATGGTATAGTGAGATAGTTTTCCTTATGCTAGCGGTTAAATAGTTAAACACTAAACAAACTATGAATAATGAGTTTATTTGAGAACATCAATTGAATAGTAGAACAACTATGTTATACCATATGTTTCTTCTTCGTTTGATTTATCAACTTGACAGCTGTTATTGAAAAAGTAATTATATACTAATGAATTATTTATCGATGTGATGATGTCTTCATCTGAAAAGTATTTTATATATATTTAAATTGTTTGTTGATGATCTAATAATTGAATTATTCGATATGTAATAACATAATTAATGTTAAAATCGTGAAAATGAAGAGTTCATTGTTTTAAGTATATTATATGTTGAAGTGAATTTCACTGAACGGAAACAAAAGAGTTAAATCAATTGCTTGTTTAATATGGAAGCGAGATTAAATATAAACATTGAAATAAATAAAGAATAAAAATCTTGATATGATTTTATGATAAATTTAAAGAAAGATATTGATTTGATGATTCAATTTAATGTTGTAATTGAATATTCATTTGTGGAGGTTCTTTCTTATTATTATCATTTGATTTAGTTGATGATGAATTTATTGGTTTCGATATTGTTTTATTATTATCGTTATCAGGATTTTCATATTCTTTTCGAATTTCTGCAGTATTCTCATCAGCTGTTGCTCTAGCTGCCGATTGTTCTTCATTAGCAATAGCTGAATTAATAGAGTCAGTCATTTATCTAAAAAAGCACAAAAAATAAAAATATCCTGCTTGATTTATTTTATTGTTGAATAAATAATTAAATTCTTGAGACAATTATAGTAACAACAGGTATATCACTATATATTTCTTTAATTGATTGTCGAACTTTTTCAATAATACGTTCTCGTATTAAATAAATATCTTCATATTGTTTAGATCTATTAGTTTCTAAATGTTGAATTAACCAGTTTGGTGTCATTAACATAAAATCAAGATCAAACGAAAGAGGTGTTCGATGAATATTAATTGTACATGATTCAAGTTTAAGTTCATATTTATTTGATATTTCTTCTAAATATTTTCTTGAACGACTTGTTTTTGATTTTTTTTTATTTAGTGTTGAAAAAAAAATTGGATAATTATAAAAAGTTAATGCATCATTAATATATGTTTCTATTAAATGATTTTTTTGATAATGTTCAGTTTCATCAAATGAATGATACCATACTGTATAAATAAAATAACCTGTTTTAGGTTTAAGTAATTTTGATATAACTGGATATATATTATCTTCAGACATTAAATGCATTGATGCATTACAAAGGATAAAATCAAAATAATCTCGAGGTAAATCATTTGTTGAAAGACAATCTTCAGCAGACATTTTATATATATGATTACTTTTAATATTATTTCGTGCATGTAAATACATTCTTTCAGCTGGTTCAACAAGATATAATGATGATGGTGATATATTAAGATATTTAATTAATAATTTTGAAACTAAACCAGTTCCAGCAGCTAAATCCATGATATGAATATCTTTCAAATTGGTTAGTCGATGATTTTCAACAAATTTGATCATATTGATAGCCATATCAGAAAATATTTGATAATTATTAATCAATATATGATAAGGATCAGCACGCATATGCCATGAATCAATTATTTCCTTTCGTTCATTATTATTCATTTTTTTTAATATATCAACAATAATAAATAAAAAATATATTAAATAAATAATTTTTTTTTCTTGGAAGATCTATTCACCTTTTACTTCATATATTTTAAACAATAATCATAAGCAAATCAAATCATTTTTCAATGTTATTCTCACACATCATTTCACAAACATATTAAAACAAACAAACAAACAAACGGTCTGAGAAAAAAAAAAGGAAAGATGCAACTCATATAGACTAATATAAAGCGAAGTATAGATTTATATCGATTAAGAAAACAAATTAAGTTAAGAATGTTGACTAAAATAAAATCACTGTCATTGATACAAATATGATTTATTACTTTGTTTTGTTTTTTTTTCGGAATGAAATATAAGAAATAAGAAGAAACATGTTGTATTTAATCAAATGAATAAATATGAAATGATGATATTTTTTTAATATAAAAATTATTTTTATCTGATATAATGATAAGATATTCAAAATAAATAAATAAATATGAACTATTTACATAGTCATTTTAATAACACCTGATGTTATTTGAATATGATTATTGTCTGTTGTTGATGTTTGAGAAGTATTATTTCCTTTGGATATATGTTCAGACATAATTCGACTGAAATCATTGCTTAGATTTGGATAACGTAAATTATCATTTTGAAATAAACGTTGTAAATTTTCAAATAAATCTACACCTTGTTCGGCGTTACGTCGAACATTATTTGAAGATGAAATATTATAACGAATTGAAAGCTATACAGAATAAATAGATTTTTTATTAGACATATATTATTTGGTTGTTTTTTTTTTTAAATTAATATTACATCATCAAATATTGATTTAAATGGTGGATTTACTTCAATCGATTCTTTTGGCTAAAATAAAAAATAATTTTATTATAAATATACAACAACAAAAATAATCTACTCTTCAATTTTGACTTGAATATTTATTTTAACTAATATCATCAACAACAAAAAAAAAAACTCATGTTTTAACTAAATGTTCAATGCTTTATTTTTCTTTTTCAAATTTTATTATTTTCGAGTTATTTTCAGATGAAAAACAAAGCAAAATTATCATAGAAAACGACCATTGAAAATAACTGATTATAGAGCTGATGGAGTTTTCGACAACTATTGACGAGAAAAGCTCAAGTTTAAAAAAAAAATTATCTTTTAGGTAAAACTAGTCTTATTAAGATATAAATATATGCTCATTTATCATATAGATCAAAGAGAAAACTATTTATTCTTGGTATAGAAAACGTCTAAATGAAAAATTGTTTTTTGAATATAGATTTTTTTCAAATTAAGTGATTATGATAAAATGAAATAATTAACATAACATACAATATGATTATAATTAACTGCTGATTTGACTGTTCCAGCTCCATATTCCCATTGATATGCATCATGTTTTGATCTAAATATAAAATTAAATAAATGAATATCATATATAAATAAATTGTTTATTTAACAAACTGTTCTTCATCTGAATTTGATTCACTATCAGATTTAGTTCCATTATCATGTTTTTTTTTCCAATTTTGATAACGAACTATTAATTCTATTAAATATTTTGTTGATTTTGTTGTTGAAACAAATTTAAATCGACGTAATTGTGTAGATGTTGGTCTCTTATTAATAGAAAATAAATAAAAGATAAAATTAATTTTTCTTTTTTTTTTGAATTATTTTTTCTAAATACATGTTCAGGATTTTTTTGTAAACAAGCTTCAACAAATTCTCGAAATGCATCGGAATAATCTTTTACAGGTAATTGTGGTGGTGGATTTTTTGGAATTTGTAATAAAACACGCATTGGATGTAAATCAGAATTAGGTGGTTCACCTTTTGCTAATTCAATTGATGTTATACCAAGTGACCATATATCTGCCTATAATATATTATGAGAATTATTAGTCAAACTAGTCCTATTGACATATATCTTATCTATCAATATAATTTATTAACGAAACATTTTTTCAAATATTTCTTTATTTTATTTAATTAATAAAAATTGAAATTAAATCGAGAAAAATTCAACGGTAGATCATAATTCATATCTGTTATTTGCATGTTACAGTTTCATTATAAATCCTATTAATTGAGATTTTCTTTTATTGTAAATAGAAAATTTAATTTGATCTGTTATGATTATTATCGAAAATGTTCATATCAGAATTCTTTTTTTAAATATTTCTCTTTATCTATGAAATACATCACGTATTATTTCAAGATATTCTTATGTATATAAGATATTTTATTGTTTTATTTATAGATGAAATAATTAAACTATCAGCTATTTGCCCTCATATTGTTCATGGCAAAGAAAAAATTTGAGTAGAATTTTTATATAATAATCTTTGATTAGATTCGAATATTAGTTAATAATTTAGTCTAGTTTTCTGAGCATTTTATCAGTCAAGAATTCTTTTTTTCGATAGGTAACCTCTTGATTTATGTATCCTGTTAATTATTAATATAAACACATTCGAATAAAAAAAACTATTTTTCATAGGGAAATAGAATTTTTATTCAATTAGTTAGAAGAAGAAAAAATACTATATGCATACAGGATATTAAATTTTATTTATGGATTGACGTGCTATTTTCTACAGATATTATTCTATATATATATTCTCTTATAATAAATATATTAGCTGATGAAAAGACAAGTTAGGAAAAGTGACGATTAATTATGATCTACTGATTATTATTGTGTAAAATAACTCTTATCTTTGAAAATATTATCTAAATTTCAATTATATGTTTTACTAATGTGCATTCAACATATTTCTCTATGAATATAGAACGTCATTATTCTCATAATTTTCTATATAAATAAGAGAAAATAAAGTTGACAAACATCTAAATAAGCTAATCGTTATGTTATATTTGAAGTCAATGCCTTTATTATTCTTGACCCTTAAAAGTCGAAAGGGGTACCCGTAACAATTTTAAAAAAACCAGCCATGGGAACTGAGCTTCTGACTCATCAGTATGATTATATTATAGTAAAAAAAGAATTATTTTTTCTTATGGAGATACAGAATGTCCCTTGGAAGAGACATTCGGTAGTGATGATCCAAAATTTTTTACTATTCTGAGTTTATGTAAAAAGAGTTTTTGCTTTGAAATAATTTTACTTATTTGTTTTTTATTACTTAAAAAACGAATTGAAGCAATATTTTATACTTTTTCAAAGTTTACGCACTCTCTGTTCCAATATAAGGCTTGCTCGTAAATGTTTTGGCCCATTAAGATCGAATGTTCCTTCCAAGGGACATTTTCTTGATGATGTCATCATGCATCAACAAATCGATTAAAAAATTCAGAGATGGTCTCATTCGATAGCCTAATGCTGCGCCTTGCGATGCCATTTACAAAAAATAGACTTTCACACTGTATTAATAAATGAGCAAAAGTTTTAAAGTAAAAAAATGACATTCAAAAAATTATATCTCTTAAAAAATTCATTGTTTCGTCTAACAAGTATTCAAGACTGATCTTTTTCTCTTTTCATGATCTATCAGGTTATCTTACTCCAAGAAAGCATTGAATCTTGTATATGAAGTTATATTACATGTTTTATTGAGATTTTTTCAATGTTCCTTGGAAGGGACATTCGGCTTTTAAGGATTAACATAAAATCGTCAAGAGCATTTTTTTTTTTAGTTTAAACGTTAAATATAATTTGTTAAATCTGTTCTCAAATAAATCTCAATAAAAGTTTGATAAACTTATAGATATGATATGAGTTTTCTATGAAAATTAATTCTTATCATAGAATATGATAATAATCTTACTGAATAATCATATTTATGTTGCATAATAACTTCCGGAGGCATCCAAAAAGGTGTTCCAACAAATGTTGTTCCTTTATTAATTGAATCTGTTAATTGTTTGGCAACACCAAAATCAGCTAATTTAACATCACCATGTTCAGAAAGAAGAACATTAGCTGCTTTTATATCTCGATGAATTTTTTTTTCTGAATGTAAATATTCAAGACCTTTAAGAACTTCTCGTAAAATAATAGCTATATATTTTTCATTAAATGTGCCAGCTTTCATTAAATCTAATGCTGAACCACCACCAAGATATTCCATAACAATCCATAATTTAGTTTCCTTTTATAAATTAAATTTTTTTTTGTTTTTATTTTAATATAAAATAAAAAAAATATATAATTACTTTTAAATAAGAACCATAATATTTTGTAACATATGGTGAATTACATTGAGAAAGTACTTGAATTTCTTGTTGAATATCTTCAATTTCATCTTCAGATTTTTCCAAATCGATTATTTTAATAGCAACTATATTTGATAATTTTCGATTTAAACCTTTATAAACTTCCTTTAGAAAATAAAAAAACAAAACTAAAAAATAAACAGGAAAAAGTAAATGAAATAATTTACTCCAAATGATCCACGACCAATATGTTCAAGTCGTTGAAATAAATCTTCAGGATCAACTTGACCCTTGATGAATCATAATTTAAATTATTTTATTAAATAAGAAAAATCTTTTCATACTTTTTGTTGAGATACTTTTGAAGTGACAATCATTGAACTAAACAATTGGAAAAAAAACGATCAATTTTTTTATTTTTATTTTATCTATTATTTAACTTACATATGATTATTTATTCAAAGTTAAACAAGAAATTATTGTTCTATATGAGTATAAACACATTTACTTTTCTTTTCTTTTTTTTTTTTTTTTTTTTACTTGTTCTTATTTTCAATTAAAATGTTCTGTATTCAGACGCAATAACAAGTAAATACATACGAACAAAAAAATACATTCGTTCTTGATTTTCTCGCTTAGCAAGAACTTTTAGCTGAGATTTATTTCTATTGGTTGAATATTTAAGCCAAACAAATAAATCAATTTATTTCAAGTTTTCATTAAATTTTACTTCCATATGTATTGAGAAAAATTTTTTTTTTCATAAATAAAGTAATGACTCAGTACTTAGCCAACATAGATGAATTACTCAAGTTTATGATAATTTAGAGTATATTAATTGAGACAGTTCAACAAGTCTCATTAGTATGTTTTTACCGTGAAAATCAAAGCTTGTTTTAATAAATATACAGCTTGAGATTTATAAGAATATAATTGTATTAAAAAAAAACAATTTGAGGTAAATTAAATTAATTTTTTTTTGTTTCTTTTGTATATAAACAAAAAACAAAAAAAAAGCTAGATGCTTCTTTTTGTTCGTTTATTCAATATAAATTCAATTCGTAATTCTTCTAGTCGTAATCGTGAATTTTATTCTATTCTGAAAAAATCTTATCGTACAACAAAATTAAATTTATTTATGGCATCAAATAATCGAACATGTTTTATCTTTGATAAAGATGAATCAACTAAAATTCTTATTCAAATGATTTATGAAATACCTTCAACAACAAAACGTCGTCAATTTAGTTTATTACGTACTGTTGATGAATCTCTTTTACAAACAATAAATCGTTTAAAAGCTAATATTGAACGTGCTATTATTAAAGAAAATAAATTAAATAAACGTCTTAAAAAACAAAATATTGATATTAGTAATAATCATGAAAAAGACTTAATTATTGTCAAATTAATTGATAGAAATAATCAACAAATTGATGAAAATCAAAATAATAAACAAGCATGGATTAATTGTCAAACATTATTAATTAATCAACAATCTTATCATGTTGAATATAATGCACCAGGTTTAACTTTTTTTGTTTCATATTTATTATTTATAATTAATATTTAAAATTTAGCTATTATTAAATTTCGTTTTCCGGATAAAATTCTAACAAATACAATAACAACAACATTTGTAGAAATTGATTATGGTGATATTGAATATTCATTATTTGATTGGTATGTTACAGATGATATAAAAATAAAAGAAAATGATGATGATGATGATGATGATCAAACTGAATGGATACATGTACATCGTGGACCATTTTGTATATTTCGTGATGAACATGTTAATAAATTTGTACGTCTTGCATGTTTACCTCGAAATAATTTACTAAGAGAAGGAATGCAAGCTGAACATACATCAAAAAATCGAATTATTCCATGTCCATTTGATTTACCTATGAATAAAAGACATCAATTAACTGAAGAATATTTTTCAATTGACTCAAATAAGTTTGTTTTGTTTTTTTTTTTTAAAGTTAAATTTATATTTTAAAATTAATTATTTATTAGGATTCGTTTAGTATCATATAATATATTAGCTAATGGATATGCATCATCAACAGATGCTCAACAAATGATTTATCCATATTGTTCACAAGATTTTCTTGAACATGATTATAGAAAACCACTATTATTAAAAGAAATTTTAGGATATCATGCTGATATAATATCATTACAAGAATGTGATACGACTTTTTATCAACGTGAACTTTCATTTATATTAAAACAAAATGGTTATTTATCTGATATGAAAATAAAAAGTGATTCTGTACGAGAAGGTGAAGCTATTTTTTATAGAACAGATCGATTTATGTAAGATATTTTATTATTTTAATTTAATATATATATATATTTGAATAAATCTAGTGCTATTGGAAGTCATAATATAAAAATAGGTGAATATTTACGTGATGCCGAACATTTAGAATATATTCGTCGTCGTTGTTCATTAGTATCAGAAATTAATACTCATTTATTAGAACGAAATACTGCATTACAAGTACGATAATTCAATTTAGTTCATATTTTATCTAATTTAATACTAACATTTTATCTTTCAATCATTTATTTTTAATAATTATAAATTTATTTTTGAGATAATTATCTTTCATTTAACCCTAACACGCCCACCTGGGATCCGTCTGGACCCCAACCAATTTCATTTAAGTGTTATTCACACACAATGACAGATCAAATCCTGCCTCTCTAGATATGCTCTAGTAACGATTTGTACTATATGCCGCTGACGTCAGCCGTTCGTCATAACTAGTTGTTTACGTGATAAGCTATCTCGAAGTACATGTGAACGCTTGTTGCTCACTTGGGGTCTACCCGGACACCAGTGAAATTCTTTTTAATGTTTTGTAATTGTAGCTTTAGATAGGGTCTTGTCCTTACATGGACACTTTAGGGACACATAGTAGAGTACGCTGGTAACAATAATCAATCAGACCAATGCTGTAAAAATAGAGCGTTACTTCAGGAACAATTAGTTTCAAGCTACATTGCATATTGCCGAAATTTCAGTTCTAAGAAAAAATAAATCATGCTAGGGACGAGAACAATGTAAAAAAGATTGAATAAATACCATTCAAATTAACTGCTGTTCTGTTTGTTCTTCTTAAACATAAGTCTCCTTCAGAACCATTATAGTTCTGTTAGAAAACAATGGTAATGTAATATATTGTTTCTATTTTATCAGGCTGGGGTCCGTATGGACCGCAGGTGGTCAACAAGTGGTAGTCCGAAAGGTGGACGTTTCAGGGTTAATTATCAAAAATAAACATACTATCACAATCATCAAACATTTATAACACTTGTAAATCGTTTTCATATTTCTAAATTAAAAATCAATTCTAAACAGTCTTGTTCAGTAGTTTATATAAGAATAAATATAATAATATCATATTATAATTGTTTAGATATTAGCATTACAATTACAAGAACAATCAAATGAAGTATTTCTAATATGTAATACACATTTATATTTTCATCCAACAGCTGATATAGTTCGATGTTTACAAGCTATGATTGCATTTGAACGTATTAAAGAAATTAAACAATTTTATGAAGAACAAGTAAAAATATATTGTTTTTGTTTTATATATCAATTATCTTAAAATATTAAATCTATTTAAATAGAATAAAAATGTATCTATAATATGGAGTGGAGATTTCAATGCTAATGTAACATCATTAGCATATCATCTTCTATTTACTGGCGTTTTATTAACTGATACAAATCATCGATCATACAATGAAGGTATTCATTTTAATTATAAAAAAAAAAGCGCTTTTGTATATAATTGTTATATTTAATATTAGATTATGATAAAATAATAAAAGATTTTGATTATAAAAGTCCAATAGAATTAAGTACTTATTCGAATTATGCATATACAAATTATATGTTGAATTATCATGGTGTTATTGATCATATTTTTTATGATGCAAAAAAATTTAAGTTTGAACGTTCTATACCAATGCCAACTCATGAAGAAGTGACAGAATTTACTGCTTTACCATCATGTAAAATTCCAAGTGATCATTTAGCTCTTGTTATTGAACTTGAAATTATTAAATGATTGTCCTTTTTTTTCCTTTTGTTAAGAAATAAAACGATTTGTTATGTTTCAATATTTAAATTTTCAAAAAATATCAAAAAAAAAGGTAAACCTATAGACTCTTCTATCAGCATATTTCAAATTTAATAACTTAAATTAATAGATATATATATATTCAAATTTGAATTATTTGAATAAAAAAAAATTCATAAAAGGGATATATATCTAATCTTCATTTGAGAATTCTTTGTCTTATTTACTAGTAAAAAAACACCTATTAGCACAATCCTTGTGGCATTCAAATGTAAAACATGTTTCGAGATGTTTACATTACAACAGAGCAAATTTATCAAAATATATGTGCAATATTAATTATGGACTGATAATGAATCAATATCTTGTAGTGATCTTCTCGTTGCTAATAAAAAATGAAACAACAACAGAAAATTGAAATCAAAGTAGACGATCTTTACATGATTCGTTTTAGAACAAGTCTCAGAGTTCATTTTCTAATTAATTTTAGATTTAAGGAAAAAAAAATGATTGATTTAATTTAATCTTTTGGAAATACTATATGTATTAAAACAAAACTTTTAGTTTAATTGAAAAATAAAGTCAAACGAAGTTTTCTTTTTTTTTTTTATCATATAGAAATTTGACAGAAAATGAGAAATAAAATTTTTGTTTATTTAAAAGTTAAATAGAAATATTCGACGATGACTAGTAATTGGTCAAGTCGATATGATTAATATCGTATATAAACAACAAGAAATGAAAGTTGATACAGATGAAGGTTTTATCAACTTCATTACTATTGGAAAAAGTTTTTCAAGTTCATGTCTTCCACAAATAATTTATTACTTTTTTATATTCTTATTGAGATAAATCAGAATAAAAAAGAATTATATTCTCTAAAACTTACTCCTGTTAGTTATTCTATGAAAATAAAAATATAAAACAATTTAATGAACAAATTGTTATGCAAAAATTATTCGATCCTATTGAAATAAAGTTTTTTTTTGTCTCATGATTTTGTATAAGAACATGCGAGTAATCGCGGTTAACTACATTTTTTTGTTAGTGTGATGAAACTTTCATAGAAATTCAAGTTAATTTTTCTAACTTCAAATATCTTTGGTTTTCTTTCTGATGAGAGACTATTCTAAAAATATAAGTAAAATTTTGTTATAGATAGCGCTAGTTTTGGAAATATTTCGAAAATGGCTTAACATCAGAAAACAATTCTTTTTTTTTGTTAGGATCGGAAAAAATAGATTGATTTGTCGAGAGAGTTTCATCCAATCATGTTGGGTTTTATCAATCTCAAAAATGTCGCCCAAAACATGTGCTATTGATATTAATTTAAAGCAAAGTTAAAATATTCATTATTAATGTATTAGCGACTCCTAATCGCAACAATCTGCATTGTTATCTCTTTATCCATGTTATATCATATTCGAAGTAAATCAATGCAGATAAAAAGAAAAATAAAATGATACTTTTTAGTTCCCATAACATATACAACAGTAGACAGATTTTTAAAAAAAGGGAATTTTCCTACGAATCATTTGTATTGTGGAAATTACAAACATACAAAAAGTAAGTTTTAGAACATATCAGAAACTGTTGTAACTACCAAAATGCCATTCAAAACCAATCATAACCAAAATAAAAAACCTCTCTCCAGGAATTTCTGAGAAATTTCGGTAATTAATATGAAATTCTAGTAATTACCGAAATTACTAATCAAAGATTGACTCTTGATGAGATTTCACTGACAAGTGTCTTCTAAGTAAACGCGTAGAAAACAACGAAAAAAATTAAAAATATGGTTGAACATCACTGCTCTATTATCCATGTATGAATCTCTCAGACATTTAATCATAAGTGTGTTAGTGTAACAGATGTTTCTTCTGTTATTGAATAGTGCGTATGAAATATCTTCTATCGTGCTAATTCCTATTACTAGAAAATTATTGTACAATATCTTCATCATTTTCAACTGTATATAATACACAATCCATTTATAACAAGGGATGTGGATAGGACCGAAGAGAAAACTCGTACAGATGCCCACACCCAGTAATTTTGTCAAAGTTTCAAGCGTATGTTATTGCAATTTCATCTTGAAATATTCGGACAGGGAATGAATATTATTATTGTCCAGGTCAACAAGTCTGGAACATTTACGAGTGTTGGAAATATCCATGTTTCGTATCTAGAATTTTCTTACTATGTTATACTATGCTATATATGGGTTTTTTCCCACGTGCGTATTATGTATATGTATATATGATTGTACTATGTAGTTCTTGTGTGGAAGATTATATGTATCATACATCGTGTTCTTTTGTATTTCTTCTTTTCATTATCCTCCGTGAGATATTACAACAAATAAAGCGAACTTACGTTCAACAAAATATATAGATATACAATTATTACCTTTTTGTTTCTTAGTATTTTAGTGAATAAATATGTTAGTGCTTGATATTTTATCAAGTTGAACGTGACACATCGTGAATTATTCATATTCGACGTAGATGCACAATCGCGATGTTTAGTTAATACAAAATATATTACACTTTTACATTCTACATACAACGATTTATGTCTACTTAAAAAAAATCTTCTCTTGAAATATTACCGGTCGAAATTCTTCATCGAATTTATGATGAACTTGATATAGAAACAATTCTCTTTTCAATGCGTTGCGTATGCAAAAAATTCTATTCACTTACTAATGACTATAATCGTTATCGACTAGACTTCCGTTATTTGTCAAGATCTGATTTACGTGTCATGGCACGTCTTATTGATCCTAAAAATGTTATTTCACTTTCACTTTCGGATAAAGAACAGACATCCGGTCAAATTCGATTATTTCTTAGTCACTTTCTTATGGATCAATTCAGTTGACTACGTTCATTAACTCTCATTTACATAAGTGAGAAAGATTTGGATGAATTTCAGAAATATATTATGAAATGTTCCCTTACAAACAGTTTCAATATCGTTTAGTGGCTCTGATTCCAAGAGCATGAAACAATTATTAACATCAATTTTATCCCGCAATACTCTTTGTAAATTGAAAATTGGAAATAGTGATGATACTATCAATGACATGCGATGGCCCATTCGGTGTAAATTAGAACCTATGATAATTAGTGGTCGATGTAACTGGTATACAGCTTTCTTTATCATACGTCACTCATCTCATCTACGAAAATTGATTGTGTAATGTTTTTCAAAGGATGACACCGATGGGACTATTACTATAGGGTCTGATATGAAGCAGTGCGATCATTTAACTTCACTTCTAATTTATTGTCGGTTTTAGGAACTGATAAACCATAATAAAAGACAGAAAGATATAAATACAACAAAGCAAAACACAATAAGAACAAGAAAGACAACACACACAAGAAACTCATTATCTTGTGTATTACCCCTCATTGAACTTGCAGTTGTTGCATCGACCACCGACTCCTGAGTATCAGACATACAACACAGAATATTATTTTTAATTCTCGGAAAACGTTGTGTGGGTGTGGGTGAGGGGTGGGTGGGTGTGTGGGCGGACGTGGATGTGAATGTTAGATACATGTCTTCAAGTAACCCTCACTCACACCCACATCCACACCCAAATCCTACACCCACAACCACCCATTAAGAGCATCAATGAATTTAGTGCAATAAATATTATACCTTCAAATCTTATTTCAATCTTAATTTTGTGAAACACGATCTCAAAAAGAGTGTTGAAAGATAAGGTGAGAAAAATGAAGCCTGCCCACGCAGACCGTGACAAACATCTTAGCAACGGTGTCTTGTCTCATCACAGGCTGACAAGAAATGCAAATAAGAAGGGAAACAATAGAACTCTCTCGTTTTTGAGATTTATTTACACGGCGACCCTTCTAGTGACATTCGCTGCTGTTGTTAGAGAATCGATAGGTTCAGTCCCGCACTTGAAGCTCTCTATATGCTCTTTTCTGAGACATCATTGATTCTGCTACGTTTTAGAAATTTAATCAACATGAAGAACATCAGATTCATTATATTTCACATTTTAGTCCTGAACGGATTATTGTAAAAGCTTTTTTTTATCGACATTTGACAGAAAAGTTATTTTATTACAGAAAGTTACACATCGATCCAAATTCTAAGCTGAAAATTGACATAAGTTATTATTACACCAATTACTTTTGCATCATGGATCTTTATTATCTTTTAAAAATCAAAACAAATTAGAGATATAATAATGTACACGAAGGATTTCAAAAGCTGCACATAGAAAAAAAAGTTTCATTAAATAAGGTTCTCTACATTTCTCAAAACGTTAATGCTAGGCTATAGACAATGGGAAATGAAACGATGATCTTCGAAAGCTATCATTCAGAACAACAACACAACATTCGAAATTTTATCTTATTTTTCTTTTCTCATTCTTACAGTGCTTGACGTAGATGTCTTCTGTCAATATTGAAATAAGGTAAACACAACCGAATTAACGTGCTTCACACAACTAAAACTATCATCAAAAAGACGTCGTCATAAAAAACAACAACTCAGCAAAAGAATGCTGCAAAAAATATGCAGAAGCAAAAGTTCTTTTTATGATTTATTACAGATAACAAACATAAAAATGACTTATTTTATAATTGGTAATTCAATTACATTGATATTATTGATTGTACTCATATTTATCTTTGCTTATTATGTGTGGGTATTCTGCGACTCATTTATTAGTTCAAAATGAAAATTTAATGACCTGAATTTTAGTTACAATCTGCGTACAAACAATATATTTCATCGTCTTGGAATGCCTGCTCCGGCACCTATTCCAATACTCGGTGAAATGTTTAATGTCATGCGAAAGGTATTAACTTTCATATGTCTCTTCAATGATATATTAATTTAATAGTCGTATTCATCCAGGGATTACATGCGAACGACGTCAATCTTGTTCAGAAATATGGGAAAATCATAGGGTAAGTAAATATTAATGCAACAAAGTGTGGATATGAAGTTCAACAATATCTGTACTGATCACTTGATGTTTGCTGCATTATACTAATTTGGATAGAAACTTTTGAAAATTTTATTATAGAATTTTCGAAGGAACTATTCCAGCTATTCTTCTCTCAGATCCAGATCTTCTTCAAAACGTTCTAATCAAAGATTCTAATGTGTTTATTAATCAACGAGTAATTAGTAATTACCTTTCTATCAGTATTTGAACATCTCTCTGCTTTTGTAGACCATGGAAGGTGTTACAGATATCATGGAACATGGTCTTACAGGGCTAAAAGATGAACAATGGAAAAATGCTCGATCCATAGTTTCACCAGTGTTCTCTACAACAAAACTCAAAGCAGTAAATGTCTCTGTACGACAATATTTATTTTTGCTAATCATTTTCTTCAGATGTACGGTCTGATGAATGAAATTAGTGACATGTATAACAAACGTCTTCTTGAATATGCTGATAAACAAGAAATATTTGATGTCAAAATGTATATGTCTATCTCTTGTTTAATGTGATTATTTTTTAGTGCAGTTGTGTTATAATCATAGGCTGAATGGTCAATATACTCTTGATAATATTGCTTCTTGTCTATTTGGTATTGAAACAAATTCCTTGCAGAATGAAAATATCACTTTAGTCAATCATTTAAAAAAATTTTTTTCATTAAGTGCGGCCAATCTATTTTTATTAGTCTTTTGTGAGTATATTGCAGAAGAAGACATGTTATGTAGATTATAATTTTTTTGATTGGAAATAGTTTTTCACCTCGATTAGCTCGTCATTTGAGTGCGAAAGGTTATTCAATATTACTAAGCGATACTATGAACTATTTAACACAATTAATTAATCAAATATTAGCATAACGTCGACAACATTTGGAAAGACGAAATGATTTTATTCAAATGATGGTTGATCATGAAGAAGAAGTCAAGCATGAAGAGCAAACTGATAAACAAGAACAACAATCCGAAATACTTAAAGAGAGTAAAAATCAATTGCTTTATTATAGATAAACTCATAACATGGTTTTAGCTTTGAATGATAAAGAAATACTTGGTCAAGCTCTAGTTTTCTTGGTTGCTGGTTATGAAACAACAAGTGTATTAATGTCATTCTTTTTCTATGTCATGGCAACAGAACCAGTGATTCAAGAAAAACTTTATAATGAAATTCGACAAGAACTTGGAAAGACTAATAACTCATCGTTGTATCTAGGATGAAGTTACTTATGAAAAACTTAGTCAACTTCAATATTTCAATATGGTTATTAATGGAACACTTCGAATGTATCCACCGTTTACTAGGTAATTTTCTATGATCTTCATTTTCCTTCGACGGCTGTGTTTTTTTGATAGAACTGAGCGAGTCGCCTCGAAAGATTACCAACTCGGTAATTATGGCATACCGAAAGGCTCCATTATAAGCGTGCCCGTTTATCCCATCCATCATGATCTTAATGTTTGGTCTGAACCGGAAAAATTCATACCTGAAAGGTACATCTCATGTCATAATCATAGATATTCTTAGTGAGAATATTGGTAATATTATCAGATTCTTACCGACAGAAAAAGCTAAACGACATCCAATGACGTATCTTCCATTTGGTGATGGACCACAGTACGGAATTCATACTTGTTGATATATCAATAGATCATGCATCTACTTGTGATTATAGAAATTGTATTGGCATGCGATTCGCACTGTTAGAAGCTAAACTTGCGATAGTCAAAGCATTGCGTCTAGTTGAAATACAGAAATGTAACAAGACTGAAGTACGTAATGATCATTTTACCATTGACTATCTAATTATTAGTTGAGTTCTAGATTCCAGTTCAATTGGGCCAATTAACAATTTTATCTAGTAAAAATGCTATTTGGTTACGTGTCGTACGTCGATCCCAGTGAAATGAACATATTGATCGTTTTTAAAACTTACATATTGCAATACCATTTTTCTTATTTGAATCAAACTGTACTTTCTCTAGATATGTTACATTTTTTATTTTGTGTCCTAGACAAGATTAACTTGATAATGAAATGAAATGAGCTCATGGAGTTATCAACAGAAGTAGACATTTGAAACGTGTTGACCAATAATGCTGAAATACCAATTATTTTTATTTCTTTTACAAATGAAAATATCAATGATTGTTTGATGATACTGTTCTTCTAAACATCTAATGTTCCCTATTAATAATGATTGTCTAGTATAACGTAAACTACCTAAGCAACTATGCAAAAGACATTATCGCACTTAGTACAAAGAGAAGACTGTGGATGTGGATGAGCATGGGGTGTGGTGTGTGTGTGGCTGTGGGTGTGAGTGTGAGGGTGTGGATGTGGGTGTGTGTGGGTGTAAATGTGGGTGGGTGCTCGGGTGGGTGTTGATCTTTCCCTCATCCGCACCCACACCGATACCCCACACCCACACCTCACACCAACACCCACCCACATCCATACCTACACCCACACCCCAGCCGTGAGTATTTTCGGAATAACTCAAGAACAGAAAGAGCTAGAGAGCTGCGATTTTCACGATTACGTAGGTAAATCAGTACTCTATATATGTACTAAGACATGCTGAAAATCCTTGTAGATTCAGGGTTTCGTTACCATCAGTCTTTCAAAGAATTGATTGCGGTTTCTTTAAGTTCCATAGGAACTTACATATCTAAATTATGTAAAAGATATTTCGAAGGCTTCTCAACAAAATGACTCAAGACTCAGTTTTTTAGCTTTTTTAGTTCTCGAATAGCACTCATTTTTGTAAAATCTATGACATTCATTTTCTGCAGCATTAGTAATCGTAAAAATTCACAGCAAAATACATAATAAACAACGTTTCAGGCCTCAGCGAACTATTATATAAGTGATGCTCAGTGAACATGCTATAAATTTATCATCTAAATTATTACTGACTAACAGAGTTTATGTGTGAGACGCACCATTACGCCATTACATTATTTTATCCTTTTCGATTCAAATCTAACAGAAAAAAACTATTACTTGTAGAAAAATAGCGTTGATGTATGCAGCTACTGTCAGGGAAGAAAAATGGCTGCAATGAGAAGAATCCGTTCAGTTACATGAAACACTTTTTATACGAGAATGAATTTATCCAGAGCATATTGGTCACGGGAAAATTATAAAATATAGACCTTGCCAAGTCGAAGTACAAATAGTACTTAGCATAATTGAAGTAGACGACAAAATACATGAACAGTTTTAATAATTTCATATAAAATATGGAAAAACTTGAATTTCAGGCGCACAGTTCATGAAAAAATTGAGTCTACCTATTTTGATATATATTAGTACAAACCATAGAAGTGCAAGTAATTATATTGTTTTTTTTCTAAATTTGAAATATTCTATTTGTCTTTTCATTCTTTGTGAATTCTTGGTTTTACTTACGCGTACACGGGATTGTTGTTCATCATCCACATAATAGTTCGCTGCGGCCTAAAACGTTGCTTATTATGTATTTTGCTGTGAATTTTTACGATTACTAATGCTGCAGAAAATTAATGTCATAGATTTTACAAAAATGAGTGCTATTCGAGAACAAAAAATCTAAAAAACTAAGTCTTGAGTCATTTTGTTGAGAAGCCTTCGGAGTATCTTTTACATAGTTTAGATATGTAAGTTCCTATGGAACTTAAAGAAACCGCAATCAACTCTTTGAAAGACTTAGTGAAAATCGCAGCTCTCTAGCTCTTTCTGTTCTTGAGTTATTCCGAAAATACCCATGGCCATTCTTTTTTGGGACAGATACTGACATGTGAAAATATATAACAAAGCTGGAAATTTAAGTACGACTCTCAAACTGCAAAAGAAAATACATACATCATATAAACAACAAAGAACAAACAAAAATGAGTACTCAAGATAGGTTGCTTACTGCCTTTTCTTATCTGATATGTGTACAATAAGATTACGAGCAGACATTTACAACATCCTAATGCATCAAATTATTGCCAGGAAAAAACGACCGTTGATCTTCGAAAGACACTAATACAGCAAAAAAATAGATCCTTGTACTAGCACCAATATTTAGATAGATATTTCCTGTTCTTTGACATAAAATGAAACTATTCCTTATTGGCAGTTTTTGATATGCTTGATTTATGTGTGTTGATTCATAGAAAGAAAAAGAATTCAAATTTGTCTTCTTGAAAGAAATATACGTGGCATTTGTCGATTGACAGAAGAAAATAGTATCATGTTGGAAAAGACGAGGCCCATACTAATAATAAATAATTATGTCAATACAATTTGATGTGCAGAATCCTACCTAAAGAACTGTATCCATAACTTTTGTACAAATAGATGCAATGAATTGCACTCCTTAGCACTAAATTAGATCGAATCCAAAATTTCAATATGATTTTGTTAAAATTGATCGAAATGAAAGGTATTTGCTTATTGGCTTGCGTAAAAGTATAAACAAACGATATTCGTATTGATGGCTACTCAGAGACACACGTCGCTCAACTAGATCAAATAGCATTGCTTCAACTAAGACCATGATAATACATTGAGTTACTGTTGATTTTTCAGTCTTGAGTGTGGCTGGTGTGAGTATGGATGTCTTGCTCTTCAAATACCCATATCCAATATTATCAATTAGGCCGAAAGATAACATATTAAAGAAAAAATAGCGAAAAAGTGTCGAAAATGTTCCAAATGTTATTAAGTGACTCTATTAAGAGTGGGATGCTGGATGCTAGTATGGGTATAGGGATAGGTGTGAAGAGAAGACTAATATCCAAATACACACCCATATCCAACCTAAGCTGAGAAGAAAAATGATCTTGACTATCAGGCTCTTATTACCTTAGACATTATTTGAGAGCTACATAAACAGTAACTTGTAAAACTATAGCGTTGAAGTGACATATATTTTCGTTTTAGTTTTTGTACTTGTCTTGCAGCTGAACGTGTACTAATAATTATTTATATGTTAGACAATGGTATGAGATGCTGTATTGTATGAAAAAGGAGAAAATAATATGATTAGCAATTGACACTAGATTTTTCTATTTGTGCGTGCAGCTTAGCGGTCATTTTGAACGATTAACTAACAGTTTACTACTAAAACTGATGCGATTCTTGCGATCTGAGATATCATTCGATGGCCTAATGTTTATGCAGTGCAAGTTGAAGAAACAACTTTAGTATTAAATGATAATAAATTTTTGATATCACACTTTATCTTTGTTTTATTGTTTCTTCTGAAGATATGAAAAAGAGAACAAAGTGCATGAATATATATATATATTGATAGTTTTTTGTTGTCTCATTGTTGACTACGCATTACATTTCATTTTAAAAGTTGATAACTAAATAAAATAGATGATTAAAGCAGGGATGTGAGTATGAACGGAGAGGAATGTGCATCTTTCAGTTTTAGAAAATATTCAGTGTTTGTCAGCCAAGATCGTATCTTTTATTACAAATAAAAGGACCGTAAAATAAAAAAAAGGAAAGTTCAGCACTGTCTGCCACTTTTTTTTCTCTTCGTCACATCTCTCGATTAGAATCACAAAATGATATTGAATAGAAAGAAGAAAAACATGAACAGAAAATTTATTTTTTAGATTTGATACAATTTGAAATAAATGTCAAGAAGACGATCAACATCTTTTGATTTTCAAGATGGCAACACAAAGGTTGATGATATTCAAGTAAGATTTTATTTTTAAAAAAGTTCTTTTTTTTTCTTTTTAAATTGATAAATTAGATAAATGTTATATCACAAACAAGTATAGATAATCATGCACCAAGTAATATTGAAACAAATATTGATGATAATAAAATTTCATTACCACCAAATAAAACAAATCTTCATCGAAATTTAAAAAAACGGCATATGATTATGATTGCATTAGGTGGAACAATTGGTACTGGATTATTTTTAGCTTCTGGTCAAGTATTAGCATCATCAGGACCTGCTGGTTCTCTTATTGCTTATGTTGTTATTTCCATTATGGTTTATTTTGTTATGACAAGTTTAGGTTTGTTTAAACTTTAAACATATATTTTTTATTTAAAAATACTCAAACAAGGTTTTTTTCTAAAATGAATTGCGTAATTAATCTATCTGTTAATTAGTTTTTGTTTTTTATTCTAGTCAACTGTATGACTAGATTAAATAACAAATCTCATAGAAGAGATTCTTTCGATATGTTAGTCAATAAAATAAACCGAACAATAGATT